TACCGCCGAACCGCTACACTGTGAAGAGGCTATACGTGATCCTTATAGAGTTAAAGTGTTGCGTAAAGTAAGTGTAATAAACAAATATTTTTCTAATATTTTTTTCTTAATTTAAATTTACTTTACTTTTAGGTTATTGATGGCTGTGCTTTTAGAGTTTATGGCCATTGGGTTAAAAAGGGTGAAGGTCAAAATCGTGCCGCCCTATTCGAAAATACACCGCGTACTGAATTACATGCTTTGTATATTAACAATTTAAGTCGATAGTTAGTTTTTCCTATTTAGAACTACATACGATATCGTTATTATTACAATTATAATTACTTTATATTAATTTAATTATATTTTAATTTAGTTTTGTTTAACATAAAATAACCTAAAAGAACTATACACCCCCGCCCCCCTTCTCACCAAAATTACTCATTTTATTTTACCAAATCTTTGTTAATTTAAAAACAAAATCTCTCCCTTTACTTTGTTATATATTTTTTTTAATTTATAAGTCTTAAAAAAATATTTGAGCTTAATGCGTTAGTTAATATAATTAATAAATATCGTAATGAATACAATGAAAATAAGAAAGTAAATAAATTGTTATATTAATGTTAATTATAAATTAGTCCTGTAACTAATACTACAGCCCCCCCCCCTTATTATTGAACAAATTCGTATTGTTATTAAGTTAATGTTGCTTTATTATTATATTATTTTTATTCTATTTAATTTTGCGCTGTTTTTATTTTAAGTTTTGAAAACTATCTATTTTAAACTTTTCGTTTTTAGTAGTTTTTCTTTTAAGAGTTTTGAATCATATCAAAATTATAATAAGTCCTTTTTAAACTAATTAACTTTTATTATTATTATTAATTTTTGTTAAAAATTTTGTTATTTTTTAAGTTGAAAACAAAAAATTATGTTAGAAAATAAAATCCCAATTAAGAAAAATTTATTTATTAATATAACAAAATAAAGATTTCTTTGTTGATAAAACACTAAAAAGCAAAAGTACAAAGTGTTTAAATATTTTTGCGCAGCGCATGGTGAAACATGGAATAACTCAGACTATACAGAAGAGAGGCCATACAATAAAGCAGACTATAGAATAGACTGTAATAAAGACAACATACTAGCATACAGGCTAGATTATAGACTATACCATAGACCATACTTTAGACCAGACTTCAGACCAGACTAGACTAGACTAAAGGCTAGAGACTACACTCTAGACCAGACTATAGACAGACTATAATATAGAGTATATTTTAAACCAATTTTACACCAGACTATAGGCCATACTACAATCTAGGCTATAGACAACACTTCATACTAGACTATAAGTCAAACTATAGACTAGACTATAGCAGACTCTAAAAACTGCAATATAGGCCACACTTTAGACCAGGCTATAGATTAGACTGTAGATTACACTATAAACCAGAGTATAGCAGAGACTATATACTACACTATGCCAGGCTATAGACTAAACTATAGCAGTTACTATAGTCCACACTTTAGGCCAGACTCTAGACTGTAGATTAGACTACATTCTGGGCTACACTATAAGCCAGACTATAGACTAGAACACAGACATGTCTACATACTACACTCTAGGCTATAGACTAGAGAATAGACTATAATGTAGCAAAGACTATTGATTACACTATATGCCAGACTATAGACTAGACCATAAACAATACTATAGACTAAACTCTAGGCTATAGACTATACTGATCACTCATTTTCTTCCTTTTTGCCCTAGCGCCTCTAGTTTGGCCAGAAAATAGACTTTTATGTGTTCATTAAAAAAAATCGATTTTTGATGGTAAATGATAGTGATCACTGATTTTCTTTGTTTTTGTCCTAGCGCCTCTATTTTATCCAGAAAATGGACTTTTATGTTTTCACTCAAAAAATCGATTTTGATGGTAAATGATAGCGTCTCTAGTTTAGCCAAAAAATGGACTTTTATGTTTTCACTCAAAAAATCGATTTTGATGCTAAATGATAGTGATCAAAGATTTTCTTTGTTTTGGCCCTAGCGCCTCTAGTTTAGCCAAAAAATGGACTTTTATGTTTTCACTCAAAAAATCGATTTTTGGTGGAAAATTAAAGTGATCACAGATTTTCTTTGTTTTTGCCCTAGCGCCTCTAGTTTAGCCAGAAAATGGACTTTTATGTTTTCACTCAAAAAATTGATTTTTGATGGAAAATTAAAGTGATCACAGATTTTTTTTGTTTTTGCCCTGGCGCCTTTAGTTTAACCAAAAAATGGACTTTTCTGTTTCACTCAAAAACACGATTTTTGATGGAAAATTAAAGTGATCACAGATTTTCTTTGTTTTTGTCCTAGCGCCTCTAGTTTAGCCAGAAAATGGACTTTTATGTTTTCACTCAAAAAATCGATTTTTGGTGGAAAATTAAAGTGATCACAGATTTTCTTTGTTTTTTGCCCTAGCGCCTCTAGTTTAGCCAGAAAATGGACTTTTATGTTTTCACTAAAAAAATCGATTTTTGGTGGAAAATTAAAGTGATCACAGATTTTCTTTGTTTTTGCCCTAGCGCCTCTAGTTTAGCCAGAAAATGGACTTTTATGTTTTCACTCAAAAAAATCGATTTTGATGGTAAATGATAGTGATCACAGATTTTCTTTGTTTTTGCCCTAGCGCCTCTAGTTTAGCCAGAAAATGGAGTTTTATGTTTTCACTCAAAAAATCGATTTTGGTGGTAAATGATAGTGGAGTTTTATGTTTTCACTCAAAAAAATCGATTTTGATGGTAAATGATAGTGATCACAGATTTTCTTTGTTTTTGCCCTAGCGCCTCTAGTTTAGCCAGAAAATGGAGTTTTATGTTTTCACTCAAAAAATCGATTTTGATAGTAAATGATAGTGATCACAGATTTTCTTTGTTTTTTTCCTAGCGCCTCTAGTTTAGCCAGAAAATGGACTTTTATGTTTTCACTCAAAAAAATCGATTTTGATAGTAAATGATAGTGATCACAGATTTTCTTTGTTTTTGCCCTAGCGCCTCTAGTTTAGCCAGAAAATGGAGTTTTATGTTTTCACTCAAAAAAATCGATTTTGATGGTAAATGATAGTGATCACAGATTTTCTTTGTTTTTGCCCTAGCGCCTCTAGTTTAGCCAGAAAATGGAGTTTTATGTTTTCACTCAAAAAATCGATTGGCCAGAAAATGGACTTTTATGTTTTCACTCTAAAAATCGATTTTTGATGGTAAATGTTAGTGATCACAGATTTTCTTTGTTTTTGCCCTAGCGCGTCTAGTTTAGTCAGAAAATGGACTTTTGTGTTTTCACTCAAAAAATCGATTTTTGATGGAAAATTAAAGTGATCACAGATTTTCTTTGTTTTTGCCCTAGCGCCTCTAGTTTTGCCAGAAAATGGACTTCTGTGTTTTCACTCAAAAAATCGATTTTTGGTGGAAAATTAAAGTGATCACAGATTTTCTTTGTTTTTGCCATAGCGCCTCTAGTTTAGCCAGAAAATGGACTTTTATGTTTTCACTCAAAAAATCGATTTTTGATGGAAAATTAAAGTGATCACAGATTTTCTTTGTTTTTGCCCTAGCGCCTTTAGTTTGGCCAGAAAATGGCCTTTTATGTTTTCACTCTAAAAATCGATTTTTGGTGGAAAATTAAAGTGATCACAGATTTTCTTTGTTTTTGCCCTAGCGCCTCAAGTTTAGTCAGAAAATGGACTTTTGTGTTTTCACTCAAAAAATCAATTTTTGATGGAAATTTAAAGTGATCACAGATTTTCTTTGTTTTTGCCCTAGCGCCTCTAGTTTAGCCAGAAAATGGATTTTTATGTTTTCACTCAAAAAATCGATTTTTGATGGAAAATTAAAGTGATCACAGATTTTCTTTGTTTTTGCCCTAGCGCCTTTAGTTTGGCCAGAAAATGGATTTTTATGTTTTCACTCAAAAAATCGATTTTGATGGAAAATTAAAGTGATCACAGATTTTCTTTGTTTTTGCCCTAGCGCCTCTAGTTTAGCCTGAAAATGGACTTTTATGTTTTTACTCTAAAAATCGATTTTTGGTTTAAAATTAAAGTGATCACAGATTTTCTTTGTTTTTGTCTTAGCGCCTCTAGTTTAGCCAGAAAATGGAGTTTTATGTTTTCACTCAAAAAAATTAATTTTTGATGGTAAATGATAGTGATCACAGATTTTCTTTGTTTTTGTCCTAGCGCCTCTAGTTTAGCCAGAAAATGGACTTTTATGTTTTCACTCAAAAAAATTTATTTTTGATGGTAAATGATAGTGATCACAGATTTTCTTTGTTTTTGCCCTAGCGCCTCTAGTTTAGCCTGAAAATGGACTTTTATGTTTTTACTCAAAAAATCGATTTTTGGTTTAAAATTAAAGTGATCACAGATTTTCTTTGTTTTTGTCTTAGCGCCTCTAGTTTAGCCAGAAAATGGAGTTTTATGTTTTCACTCAAAAAATCAATTTTTGATGGAAAATTGAAGTGATCACAGATTTTCTTTGTTTTTGCCCTAGCGCCTCTAGTTTAGCCAGAAAATGGATTTTTATGTTTTCACTCAAAAAATCGATTTTTGATGGAAAATTAAAGTGATCACAGATTTTCTTTGTTTTTGCCCTAGCGCCTCTAGTTTAGCCAGAAAATGGACTTTTATGTTTTCACTCAAAAAATCGATTTTGATGGAAAATTAAAGTGATCACAGATTTTCTTTGTTTTTGCCCTAGCGCCTCTAGCCAGAAAATGGACTTTTATGTTTTCACTCAAAAAATCGATTTTGATGGAAAATTAAAGTGATCACAGATTTTCTTTGTTTTTGCCCTAGCGCCTCTAGTTTAGCCTGAAAATGGACTTTTATGTTTTTACTCTAAAAATCGATTTTTGGTTTAAAATTAAAGTGATCACAGATTTTCTTTGTTTTTGTCTTAGCGCCTCTAGTTTAGCCAGAAAATGGAGTTTTATGTTTTCACTCAAAAAAATTAATTTTTGATGGTAAATGATAGTGATCACAGATTTTCTTTGTTTTTGTCCTAGCGCCTCTAGTTTAGCCAGAAAATGGACTTTTATGTTTTCACTCAAAAAAATTTATTTTTGATGGTAAATGATAGTGATCACAGATTTTCTTTGTTTTTGCCCTAGCGCCTCTAGTTTAGCCTGAAAATGGACTTTTATGTTTTTACTCAAAAAATCGATTTTTGGTTTAAAATTAAAGTGATCACAGATTTTCTTTGTTTTTGTCTTAGCGCCTCTAGTTTAGCCAGAAAATGGAGTTTTATGTTTTCACTCAAAAAATCAATTTTTGATGGAAAATTAAAGTGATCACAGATTTTCTTTGTTTTTGCCCTAGCGCCTCTAGTTTAGCCAGAAAATGGATTTTTATGTTTTCACTCAAAAAATCGATTTTTGATGGAAAATTAAAGTGATCACAGATTTTCTTTGTTTTTGCCCTAGCGCCTCTAGTTTAGCCAGAAAATGGACTTTTATGTTTTCACTCAAAAAATCGATTTTGATGGAAAATTAAAGTGATCACAGATTTTCTTTGTTTTTGCCCTAGCGCCTCTAGTTTAGCCAGAAAATGGACTTTTATGTTTTTACTCAAAAAATCCATTTTTGATGGAAAATTAAAGTGATCACAGATTTTCTTTGTTTTTGACCTAGCGCCTCTAGTTTAGCCTGAAAATGGACTTTTATGTTTTTACTCAAAAAATCGATTTTTGGTTTAAAATTAAAGTGATCACAGATTTTCTTTGTTTTTGTCTTAGCGCCTCTAGTTTAGCCAGAAAATGGAGTTTTATGTTTTCACTCAAAAAATCAATTTTTGATGGAAAATTAAAGTGATCACAGATTTTCTTTGTTTTTGCCCTAGCGCCTCTAGTTTAGCCAGAAAATGGACTTTTATGTTTTCACTCTAATCGATTTTTGATGGAAAATTAAAGTGGATTTTTATGTTTTCACTCAAAAAATCGATTTTGATGGAAAATTAAAGTGATCACAGATTTTC